ATGTCAGGATCCTCTAAGATGCTCAGTTGTGATGCGGGGAGCAATCAGACTAAGATGAGAGCAGACACACCCTCCTGTTGGATGATCATGTATGCCCATCCTCACTAGCCTCAGACTCCTTACATGGACAAACTAATCCAGTTCCTTTGTTTTCTTAGTTTTGTAATAGTGGGTTGCTCTTCTTGTTAATAATGGGCTGAGCATCTAATCCAAAAATAGGAAACATAATGAATCGCATGTTTAGATTTGAGTCTTATCCCTAAGGTACCTCATAATGTATGTACATTTTTTAAAATCTGATACTCCAAAATCTTCTGGTCCCAAGAACGTTGGTTCAGAGATATTCAGCTTGTATATATACTTAAAGCTGTAATTAAAAACTGTAGAAATACGAGTATGAGGCTTTTTCTGGTATGGGCATGCCCTTTCTAAAAATTTATGAGTTTTTATTCACCTGCATAGTTACATACAAGAAGATACCAAAAGAGGGCATTGGGTCCCCTGGAACTGGAGTCAGGAGTGGTTGTGAGCGGCTGTGTGTGTGCAGGGAATTAAGCCCAGGTTCTCTGCAAGTACAGGTGCTCCCGACTGCTGAAGTCCAGTGCCATGCCCATCACTTTGTTCAGAAGCTGATGGCTGGAGCTGCTGTCGGGCTGAGCACTGCCTGTGCTCGCTTTTGATGCTCAGTGGGAACCACACCTTGATCTTTCTAGACTGCCTTCAACAGCTTGAACTAGAAAGAGAGGCAGAGGACAAGAAGTTCAAGGTGTGTGTAAAGGCTGAGGAGCCAAGGGAAACAAGGAAAGGCTTCAGAATGTGTTTCTGTGAAGCTGACGGGTCCTGACCTGAGTGGCATGTGTGTTTTCTTCCTCAGTACCTTCCTCAGAAGTCACCTACGGCTTAGTCGCCGCCGACTTGCTCCACTCCTTGTTGGCAGTCGGTGCAGAGCCTTGTGTGTTGAAGATCCAGAGCCTTTTCGAGCTGGATGAAAACAGCTACCCTTTGCAGCAGGATTTCTTCCTACTAGACTTCTGTCCTGATTCACGTAAGACGTGGAGCTTGGGACTTTCTCTGAGGTCAGAGGAGGACACAGACAGCATTCCAAGGAAGGAGTGATGAAATCATCTGTCTTTGGAATATTTAATTTTTATATGTTTATGAATTTTGCCTGTGTATAACTATGTACCATATATGTGCCTGGTGCCCACAGAGGCCAGGAGAGGGTGCCAGATCCCCTGGAACCAGAGTAGAGTAGTATATGATTGTGAACTGCCGTATGGATTCTGAGAAAGCACTCTTAACTGCTGAGCCATCTAACCCTATGATCTGTGTTTTGAAATAAATGAAATGACAGGACTTTTGCTTAGAGTTTTTAAAATAAATATTTTATACTGCACAATATAATTATACTAAATATATGTTAATTTTTAAGAGAGAATTCTGTGAAGCCTTTATTATTTGCTTTTTTTTTGTTTGTATTCTTTTTATTCTGGAGAAATGATCTACCAAAAAAGGCTAGATCATTTCTCCACAGTTCCCTGAGAATTACAGGTCCCTCATTGTCATTTAATTTAGACCATGATGCATGAAGGCAATACATATTGAAGACGTGTCCACATGTAAGATATTTCATCACTTTCTGTTATAAAATCTACATATTCTTTCTTATTTCTATCTTAAGAAGTTGCCAATGTGAACTAATTTCTTGATTTTAACTGTAGTTTTGGGCTGGGGTCACGGTGCTGTTGGAGAGTAGCATGTATGTGTTGGGGTCCCTGTGCTGTTGGAGAGTAGCATGTATGTGCTGGGCTGGGGTCACGGTGCTGTTGGAGAGTAGCATGTATGTGCTGGAGTCACTGTGCTGTTGGAGAGTAGCATGTATGTGCTGGAGTCACTGTGCTGTTGGAGAGTAGCATGTATGTGCTGGGCTGGGGACATGGTACTGTTGGAGAGTCGCATGTATGTGCTGGGCTGGGGACGTGGTACTGTTGGAGAGTAGCATGTATGTGCTGGGCTGGGGACGTGGTGCTGTTGGAGAGTAGCATGTATGTGCTGGGGTCACGGTGCTGTTGGAGAGTAGCATGTATGTGCTGGGGTCACGGTGCTGTTGGAGAGTAGCATGTATGTGCTGGGCTAGGTTTGTTTTAGTTTTGCAGAAACATTCTGAGGAGGAGCAAAGTGGTCCACTGGTACCCCAGGTCCATCTTTCATGTCCTGATATGAGGTTTAGGTTTAAATAGAGAGCAGGAGGTATAGCTAACTAAACAATCCAGGTTGGGTGTGGTCCCATCCTTCATTGGCTCATCAGTGACACTTCATTGTTTTGGCCCCTGCTCTGTCCTGCAAGTTGTCTGAAGTCTCTTTCTGGGAGACAGGCTTCCTCTCTGGCCAAACCTTGGGCACCAATTTTTTCTTTCCTTAGCATGAAACTTCAGGAGAAATTCTAATTCCTTGGTGCCCATTGTTTCAGTATTCTGATAGCAAAAGGAAGGGGCACAAATGTTTCTATTTAGAGTATTGTGGTTCCTGCCAGGATAGTTAACCTGCTGGACAAGCACTGTAAAAATGGCTGTATTCCTGAAAGCAAGCTACACATTCAATGCAATCCTTAACATAAGTCCAACGAGTTTCTTCACAAATAAAAAAAAAAGATCCTAAAATTCATATGGAAGAACAAAACTACCTTATCCTGTACAGAAAATGATTCAAAATGGATCAGTATCTTTAAGATCTGATGGAACTGCAATCAGAAAACCCAGGGCAAATGCTTCTACGATCCCGACACAGGCAAGGCCTTCCTGGCACATCCAGACTGGTGTGGCTAGAGGAAGCGGTGACTCCACCAGCTCAGGAAGGACGATCACGAACTGGCAGATGGGACTGCAGACAGTTTTAAAACTTCTGCAGAGTGGAAATAACCCCAGAGTGAAGAGACAGCATACCAGAGGAGAGGAATTGCCAGCTGTGCTTTTGATGTGGGATTCATATCTAGAATGAAGAACAACAGCAACAGAAAACAATAAATTACAAACGAATTAAATAGATAGTTCTCAGAAGAAGTATTTACTCTGTAAGTCTATGAAGAAAACAGTCAACTTCTGTAGCTCTCAGGGACATGCACACAAAATCTATATCAGGATCCATCTCTCCCAAACAAAGGGGCTATTGTCGAGGAGACAAACAGCAAATATTGGCGAGAATGTAGGGAAAAGAGAAATCAACTCCAACTAAGGGCTCCAGTAAATAGAGACACAGCATCATGCTGTTCACACGAAGGTGTACCTGACACTCACGAAGAGTCATGCTCCAAGCGTGATGTGAGGGAAGACAAACAGAAACAGCATACATGTTTCCCCATTCCTTAGATAACATATAATATGCTGTACATTATACATCACTTATCTTTACGTGATGTGTGCCTATATTTTATATAGTGTGTGGTCATGTGATGAAGGCCAGGGATAAGTGCTGTATAAACCAGGGAGGAAGAGGCAGTCTTGCAAAGGGCCACTCTGGGAGGTTGGCTTGTGTGACCTGCTGGCTCTAAATCCCTCCTTTAATACTTGCTCTAACAGTCAGCCTAGTGGCAGTTACAATGGTAAACAGTAGAGGGCGCTTAAAACGCACCGCGGAAGGCTGTGCTGCAGTCCAGGGTGAGCTGGAAGCCACAATTCTTTGGCACCACCAGTGGGGCTCAGCCGGACTGTCAGTCATGTGTCTGCCCTCTCCTGTCCTGCACACTTAGCGTCCCCCTTGCTGGACCTCCTTTGCTCACTCCCTCCTGCCTGAAAGTTTGTCAGTCGGCAAACTAACACAGCCAATGTGGTCATTTACCAGATCTCATTCTTCACCATCAACAATGGACAGTTAATTTACAGAGACAGGGGAGGAAGACCTTTAAGGAGAAAGGAAGGTTTTCACTTCCACAGGCCGCTGGGTGTCTTTTTCTGACCTCTCTGGTAGAATGGAATACTGATAGCATTTTCAGACATCTGGAATCTATCGCTGCTCTCTGGCACATCTTCCTGACCCCCACCTTGTCCTCTGCTGGTGGACGGGAGACCACTCCTGGGCTGGGCTGCACCTTTGACCCGCTAATGTACAAACCCTTACTCAATTCCCGAGAGATGGTTTCTTCCTTCCGTCCACAATTGAAACACAATTTCTCTTAAAGCAAACGGTGATTCGAGCAAATCATTCCACAGTAAGCGTTAGGGGAATATAATGGGCAACTATTATAGTCTGTTTTTAAAATTGCATGCTAAATTCAATTAAATTTGTCAGTTATTTTGAAGGCGCTAGGCATATGGAATCTAATCACTGAATTATTTCATTATATTTTCCTTGTTAACTATTCAGACCTTCTTAGCAGAGACTAGCTCCTCCCTGCTCCGTGGATAATGATGTCTCGTGACTCCCTTTATAGCCCCTCCCTCCCCTTTACCCAGGAGCTCGTTTTTACTTTCCCTTCCCAGAGAAATCCATGCATCTTCTTTGGGCTGTCCTTGTCATCTAGCCTCTCTGGGGCTGTGGATTGTGGTTGATTATCCTATCCTTTACTCCCACTAACCACCTATGACTGAGTACATACCATGTTTGTCTTTCTGGGTCTGAGTTACCTTATTCTGAATGATATTTTCCCTAGTTTCATCCATTTGCCTGAAAATTTCATGAGGTCATTGCTTTTTACAATGGAGTAGTACTCCATTGTGTCCTTATCCATTCTTTGGTCGAGGGGCATCTAGGTTGTTTCCAGGTTTTGGCTATTACGAATAATAATGAACATAGTTGAGCAAGTGTCCTAGTGGTATGATTGAGTATCCTTTGGGTATATGCCTAAAATTAGTATGGCTGGAACCTGAGGTAGATTGATTTCCAGTTTTCTTCTTGGAAATCGCCATATCGATTTCCAAAGCAGCTGTATAAGTTTGCATTCCCACCAGCAGTGAAGGAGTATTCTCCTTACACTGCACCTGATTCCTAAATGTGACTTTTTTAAGTTACTCCGGAGTCCTATGTCTGCGGAGGCGTCGGTCCCATCCTCTCCAGGGCCTACATCTGAGCCACTGTAGGATGATGACCAGGGGTGGAGGGAAGATGCTCTCTAGGCGGCCCTCCAGATTCTCAGCTTCCAGGTCCCTCCAGATGATGTAATGGTGGTCCCTGGCCCCAGGGTTTTCATTCTTCAGCAGGAATAGCATGTGCCCAAGGAGCTGGTGTTTCCTTTGCTTATTTACATGATACATGGAGAACTTCAGCACTCTCTGAGGGACACTTCCACTGGATACCTGAGGAAGGAGAGGACCCAGGCCAGGCTCAGGCCTGCCAGTAGGAACCAGGTGGTAGAGACAGGATACACAGCCAAACCCAGGCTTCCTTAGGGACCCCAGCAACTTGGGGAGGTACATGGGTGGACCTGAGCCTTGCCATACAGTGTTTTAAGAACTTTAAGCAATAGCCATTGCTGCCTGGCGCCTTGGTAGTCCACTAACCAGAATCTGCCTTTGAAACGTGTTTTCTTGCTGAAAAGTTATTCCAGAAATGATGACCCGGTCTTATGGCAATGGGATCTCTTCTCTCTGAACCTTGGCCTTCATAGCCGGGAATGGGGGTCACTATTCTTCTTGTCTAGGCTATAAAGCTCCTGCCACTGTATCTGGACTACAGCACATGGGCAAATAATACTGACTGATTTCTTCTGTCCTTCTCCCCAGAGCAGGGAGGCTGGGATCAGGTTGGGGTGAGATAACTAGCGAGATCTCTGAGAATAAGGAACTGAGGAGCTCCCCCCATCCCTAAATGGAGCATCCTTCCCAGCCCCTCTCCTCATCACCAAGGCTCAGGGAGCAGGTAAGAAAGCAGAATGTAAGAGTGTGGTAAATGCCTTGAACCCCAGGACGCAGGAGACAGAGCAGTGGGCTCTCCGTGAGCAACCAGGGTAACACAGTGAGGTAGCACCCTGTCTCAGAAAACAAGCAAACCTGACCTCGGGAGAGCTGTGGGTCTCCACTGGATGACCTTGCCCATAATGCTCAGTGTATTGGGTCACTTCCAACAGCCCCATAGGCCGGAGCCCAGCATTGTGTAGACACTTCACAATGTGCTTTCTCTTCCTTCTTTCCCCCAGGCAACCAGGGCAGGAAAAACCCAGTCTCTGACCATCTATTTCTAAGTAAAAACCCTCTTCACCAGAAGCTACCTCCTGTACACCCTGCCTGCCTGCTGAGTAAAGCCAGACTGGAGGCATGCGGGTCCTGGAGGGCTGGAGGGTGCTGTGTATAGGAAGCCAGGTTATCCTGCACAATGCTTCCTCCTAGGGAGCTTGTAGGCATTGGATTCCACTGCTCAGGGGTGGTACTTGGAAGATGAAGTCCTCATCAAACTGTGGGCTGCAGGTTTCATGTTTTGTCTTGGACTGGTGGAAGTGCCGTTCATCGGGCTGTAGGTGGAGCTTTACCAGGGGGCTGCTGGTCTCTGCCAAGCCTTGATTGGGCCCACTAGCAGCCGCTCAGACTCCTATTGGTACTCCACAGAGAACCACAGCCGGCCAGGCAACCATCAGGGAAGTCTGTCTCACTTGTGTCCTCTGGTGGCCTGTCAAAAGGGAGGGAAACAACGTGTAGATGGCAAGTGACCTCAGCGCTCAGCCTGAGTACTAGAAGGGGGAGGGGGGGAAGCAGCAAGAGCCAGGAGCATCACTGCTGGCTCCATACTAGGACACACAGACACACACACACACACAAACACACATAGATATCACACACACAGATACACAACCACATATACATAGATGTACACACACAGAGACACCACACACAGACACACAATACACTTAGATATACACACATACATACACACATAGATAAACAGACAACGCACAACACACACACACACACACACACACACACAGAGAGTGCCTGTCTGCTCATCCCGCAAGCATGATGTGGAAGTCAGAGCCAAGCCTCTGACAACAGCCTGTCTGGGTTCTAATTCCTAAATGTGGTATCTGGACCCATTTTTAAATATTCTCTGAGCCAGTTTCCCCAGCTAGAAAATGGGGTTCACAATGCCTCCAGCTTACTGTGAGGTTTCTGGGGTTCCTTGGCATAGTTCCCAGAATGCTGATGGCCTGAGACAGGTACTCCACAACAAGACATTTCTTCCCCAACTTGCCTCACTCTGAGGGCAAGAGTCAAAGCAAAGCCTTTGGGAAAGAAGGCCCAGATTCTCACCTGCCAGGTGTGCTCCCAGCACATGGGCTGAGTTTGTCCCCTTGTCTGTCGAAGGAAGAGGTGGTGGCCTGGTCTGGCGTCTCTGGCAGCTCCTCATAGATGAAGATGGCGCAAAGCCTCCTCCACAGACAGCAGTGCGCCCCAATCAAAGCAGCTGTCCCCCAGTGACGCCTCCTGTCACCAAGGCTAGAGGCTCTGAGGCAGAGCCCCTCTGCCTCAGAAAATGGCACGTCCCTCTGCCATTTTCCTTGGGACCAACTGGCCCTGAACTTGGTTGTGGCTCTGCTCCAGATAAAAAGCAACCCCTCCCTCCTGGAGCCTCCACCCTGGGTTCCTGCTGGGGTTTGAATGTGAGCTGGATGTGGGTGCCACACACTTAAGAGCTGGGAAGGAATCTGGGCCCCATGGCTTGGTAGAGCTCTTTTTGAAGGGGTCCTGTAACCAGATGGGTGGCTCCACGTGCCCTAGGCTCTGTAGTTAGTGTCCATCCCCTTCCATTTCCTCCACCCCATCTACTGTCAAGGGGAGCCCATGCTATGACCAGAAGGTGCAGACAGTGAAGCCTAGTGTAAAGGGGGAAGGGTGGCAGATTTGAGAAATGGAGACGTAAGGACCCTTCGACTTCCACATTTGCAGGCACCCTGGAGGCTATGCCTGGAGCCTCCACGAAGGCTTCGAGGCTTGGCCTCACTTGCTGGTGCAGGGACTGGGCAAACAGACTCCTGGACATGTGCGAGCATGGGTCTTCCTGGGTTCAGGACTATAGACAGGCTGTTGAAAAGGCCGGACCTGTCTAGACACATCCTAACCCACAACCGTCTATGAAGAGCTAACCACACCCTTCACTGCATCTCAGAGAGTGGCGGGGGGGGGGGGGGGGGGGGGGGGGGGGAAGTGCTTTGAACTGTCTAGGAGAGCAGATTCTGCGTCCTGGGATGGGTGGGAGTGAGGCCACTTACCCGCCACGGGACTGGTCCAGTGGCTCCTGGCTTCAGAACCTCAGGCTCCCGCTTGGACAGCGACGCTCCCCCACCCAAGGTGTGACCTTGTTGGAGGAAGTGTGTCACTGTGGGGGTGGGCTTTTAGGTCTCCTTTTGCCTAAGGAAAGGGGGGAGGGGGAGGTCCATCTTGTGTTTACAACCATAGAAGTAAAGACCAAAGATGAAGCTTTGGCTGCTGGGTTGCCGGAGGTGCTGGTACCATATCTACCAAAGGCCATGCAGGGTCGGTAAGACGGTGGCAAGGCTCTGCCCTGCTGGAGCTTCCCTTCGCCTGCGGCTAGGCAAGATGAGTTGTGAACTGGGCACAGAGGTCCTAGAGCTGCATTCTCTACCCAGTTCTCCCCAAGGTGACCACACTACCTCATTCCTGAACCTCTCAAAGAGAGCTGGACCACCCTGGCATTTCCCCATCTCCTTCCTTCCAGCTCCTGTCCTAGCAGCAGAGTCAGATTGGAGGTAGTCAGGAGAACCCAGTTTTCAGAGGCAATTGAGAAAGCAATCAAGGTTCTCCATGACCTATCTTTCCTTCCAGGTATGAGTTAGATCTCTGCATGTGTTAGTGTGTTAGTTCCTAAGGCCCTTTTTCAGATGCTAATGACAGCTTACTAGAGGCCCTTTCCTTCATCCTCAAAGCCTGCTGGGCAGTGTTTTCTAACCTTGATCCTTGATTCTGGGTCTTTTTTTTTTTTTTTTTTTTTTTTTTTTTTTTTTAGATGGATCTCTCTAGCTAATTCTGGCTAGTCTGGAACTCACTACATATTTCAAGCTGGCCTCAGACTCACAGACATCCACCTGGTTTGGCCTCTGAGGTACTGGGATGAAAGGTTTGTGCCACCACGCTTGACCTGGGGCCAACTATTTCTGCTTTTCTCTTATAAGGACACTCAAAATAGCAGGATTTCACCAGGCAACTCAGGTTAATTTCCTCATGTTAGGGCCATTAACTTAATCACATCTGCAAGTGATAGGAATAAACCCTTTCCTCCCCAAGTTGCTTTTGGTCATGGTTTTATCACAGTATTAGTAACCCTAACTAAGATAGCTGTGGACCACTTTGGAAGCTGAGACAGGATAGCTTTAACTGTAAACATGAAACAGAGAGAATGTATCAGGATTAGAGAAAGGCTGTAAATTCTCAAAGCCCACCCCCAGTGACATACTCTCTCCAGCAAAGCTGCACCTCCTAAACCTCCCCAGATAGCACCACCACCTGGATATTCAAATATCTGAGCCTGTGGTGGGGAGAAGTGGGGAGACAGATACCACCACAGATACCACCACTCAGAAACAACTCATGACATTTCCAATTATGGGATGTTTTGAACAATGTGATAAAATCCCATACCAGTCCTGGGACTCAAATCAACTCTGTTCTTCCAATGTATCCATGCTCTATATGCTGATTCCCCCAGTAGTCTCAGATCTTGCTTATCAGCTGTGCCTATGTTCGAGCGCCATTTACAGAGTGGTCTAGCACTATTAAATCACATCTGCATCATGTCCCTCATTTTGTCCCCTCACACAGGCATTATAGTTTCTCATATCACAAAAGGAGGACAGAGTATAATAAGATCGACAGAGGGAGACCACAGTCACAAAACTCTTGCTATGTTATTTTATTACGTGTTCTATTACATAGTTATTATCCTGTTACTTAGCTGGTTATTGCTGCTAATCTCTTATTGTCCCTACAATGAATTTAGTTTATTACAGGTGGGGATGGCTAAGAAAAAGCACGGCACATCCACAGCACATGCCAGGTTTGACACGACTGGTTTCAGGCATCCTCTGGGATAATGTAATGTGTCTGCAGATGAAGAGCATCTGCTCTAATGTTTGGTTAGCTAAAGCGGGGGAAGAGTGGAGCCACAGGTGGGCTTTTATTCTGTTTTACTGAGTGGGGAAGTAAGGGGCTGGGGTGAGAGGAGGCTAGCAAGGGCCTGACCTGGGTCTGCCAGCAGCTACCTGTTCCAGGTGCTGTCTTGACCTGTGCTGGCTTGAATGAAAAATGTGCTTTAGAGGCTCAGGCATCTGAACACTTGGTCCTCAGTTGATGGCACTGCTTAGGCAATCTTATGGAACCTTTCGGGGGTGTTTCCTTAGTGGAGGAACCACATCTTTTTAAAAGAGATTTTACACTATATTTTTATTGATTATTTGGGAATTTCACATCATGCACCGTGATCACACTCATTTCCAAGTCCTCCCAGGTTCACCCCAGCCCTTGTGACATCCCCCTGAAGAAGAAGAGGAGGAGGAGGACCTCAATTTGTGTTGATCACATACTCACTGGGGCATGGTCAAACTCCCAATGGCCAGCCTCTTAAAGAAAACACAGTGGCCAGCCTCTTAAAGAAAACAGAGACCTCCCCGACCCCACCAGAAGTCATCAGTTGTGGAGAACTACACTTGAGCATCTTTATCACAATTTTTAAGAGTTCTCTATCTAGGCTGTTACTTTTGGGGGCCGGGTGGGAAGTGGATAGGGGTTGTCACAGAAGCCTTCTGCGTCCCTCTTTCTCAGCTGAGTCTGCAGTCATCAATATCTCTGCAAAAGTAGCTTCCTTGCCCTTTACAGTCGGCAGGTGCACAGAACATGGACTTCCACATGATTTCTGGCAACGGCATGGACCACCAACATCTGCATGGTCTCCCATGGTGCCACAGACCTCAGCACAGTCTCCATGAACATCAACACGATCCTCTACTGCAGCATTGGCCACGGACACCACCACAGCCCTTGATGGTGGCACAGACCACAGACATCCGCAAGGCCTTAAGCAGCAACATGGGCCATGGACATTAACGTGATGCCCATCTGCAGCAGGGCCACAGATCTCAGCATGGCCTCAGGTGGCTGCACATATCTTGAGTCTTTTCCCTCATTGATTTTGTTGGCCAGACCACCCACAGCTATGCCAGAGTCAGGGAAGACCAAGAAAGTGAGGGACTGATCTTTTCAGTCTTACAGTAGGGAGCTGGTCAAGGGAAAGGGGACTCCAGGAATGGCTGTGTGCCATTGCTTTGTTTTCTTATTAACTAAATAATATAGAAAAACCAAGACTTCAGAAGGTACTCAGAGGTAACAGCCTCTAAGGACTAGGAATTTCCAACCCCAGGTTTAAACCTGATGTGGTGAGGCCTAAAGGTCTTTCTACTTCACCCTGAACCTTCTGTCCATTCAAGGCTGGACACTGAGAAAGTACAAGCATAGGAAAGGTAAATAATAAGGGATGTGTTCAGATGGAACAACACACCATCCAATAGATAGGGGTGTGTTGTCCTCACCTACCTAGCAAGCAGAGGAGATTGGCAGCCCAGAGCACTACAGAGTGTTTTATCAAAATCTCAGGCTCGCTGGGCAGTGGTGGCATAGGTCTATAATCCCAGCACTCAGGAAGCAGAGACAGGCAGATTTTTTTGTGAGTATGAGGCCACTTGGAATACAGAGTGAGTTCCAGGACAGCGATGACTATGCAGAGAAACTCTTGAAAAACCAAAACCAAAACCAAACCAAACCAAACCAATCAAAACCACCACAACAAAACCTAGACTCCCTCACCTCCTTCGGTTTCCATAGTTACGGCTTCTGATCTGTCCTGCTAGTTTTATGTCAACTTGACACAGCTCCAGTTGTCTGAGAGGAGGGAACAAGCAGAGAAGGCTGTAGGACACTTTCTTAATTAGTGATTAGGTATCGGTGGGGGGCTAGGGGCGTGGCACAGACCATTGTGAATGGGGACATGCTGGACAAGACTGTCAGGGAGGAGGCACTGTAAGGAGGAAGGGGAAAGGCAGATGAATGGGGTTGTCATTAGTTGGGGCTAAATCCCCTTTAGAATCAGGAATGGAGATGTGATTTATTTGGCCCCATGAGAGTAGAAGTAATGTCGGTCCCATCCCAATGGAAGCTTCAAGAACTGACGCATGATTTACCATGTTTTTCTGCATTGAGGTTGTAAAAGCAGGTGTTAAGAAGTCCCCATGTGGAGCAGAGCCCTCTTGTCAACCTGTGATGGGAGCAAGATTGAGAAACAAGCTTCTGTTTAGTTTGCTGATAATGTCACAGAGGATATGTGACTGGAGCTAGATCTTGTCTATACGGACACAGACAGGTAGTTAGTAATATGCATATGTACATGGTCTTCAGAGCGATCACCATCAGACCAGCAAGGAGCCACAATCTCAGACCCAACAGGCATATACAGCAGCCAGTTCTCTGGAGTGAAGGTTGTATTGGTGTCACTACCCCACTAACTGGCAGCCTACAGCTCCCAAGGATTAGAGAAAGCTTCCTAACTGGCGCTGCCACTAATGGTATGTACGAGCCTGGGGATCTAGTTACTCACTTACTGGCTGGCTCTTCAGTGCTGTCTTCGTCTCTGTCAAGGAATAAACAGGCACAGTCAGATGTCCCATGGTACCTCAGCCATCTTGGTTATCTCAGCATCTTCGATTCCTTCTTAGTGTGACCCTCTTCCATGCGCTCTTTAGCCCCTGGCTAGAATAGGCTGCTAGATGTTTTTCATCTGAGATATGATGCAAAGGAAATAATCCAGATGGGTGCAGACTGTTTGGAGCTCTGAGGAGCTCACCAGTCAGGTCCTGCAGTCTAGATCTATACGGCCGCACTTGGTACAGTTCTTTCCAGGCTTCTGAAGGAGTGACGCATCCCCCAGAGATTCTGGACCTGCGCCCGGATGCAGCCATTGCCGGAGTACCTGAGTCTTGCATTGAATTCTGTCATAGCATTCAGGGGGCCCATGATAGCACGTTCTTGAAGAATGTTTAACAACTGGCAGCCTAAGTGGTCAATGCCTATAATCCCTGGGAGGCTGACACAGGAGGAGTGCCTGACTTCATGGCAGGAGGAAGAAGGAAAGAAGAAGTAAAGGAAGAGAAAGAATAGGGGAGGGAAGGGGAGGAAGAAAGGAGTGGGGACAAGGAGGGGGAGAAAGAGGAAAGAGAGGAACAGAAGAAGGAGGAGGAAATGAAGGAAGAGGGAGGAGAGGTAGCTTGGCAGCTGTATTTATGGCAAGGAGGATGTGTGGATGCCGAGCAGGCAAAGGCATAGACTGCAGAATATGTCTGCTCCTAGGCCCATTTAGTGTCCATTTTTGCTTTTTCTGATGATAAAACCCATGTGTGCACCCCTATTCTTAAGTCATGTCATTGGGTAGTCCCCCATCCCCTTAACTCCATAGATAGGCTAATCCAGACCTGGTCAGTTGGAGCACCACACCCTTAGGCCTCCGTGGTTGGTAGCCCACCTCATTCTACTGACTTGAACTCAAAATCCACAGGCAACTGTTGGATGAGATAACAACAGTAACTAACACAATCATTTGGCATGGTCTGGATTTTTCAAACCGTTCTCATGAACGTGAAGCCGTGGAGACAGTCTAGGAGTTGCTGGGAATGTTCAAACGGATGGCGAGATACTGGTCTCCAGTGATGTAATTCAAGCCGGTGTGACTCCCGCTGAGCCCGGCTCTCCTGGGCTCTTGACTTCTAAGACCCAAAGTAAAGTAGCTGCACTGCTGTGGCCAGTTTGATTTGGCCACCCGGCTCTTGAAAGCAGAGCGTTGACTACTGAGATCATTTTCTGTAGGCATGCAAGACAAGCTGACAGGGATGTATGTCATGCTCATAACCTAGCAGGAAAGACAGTCAGAGATGGCTGCATCTTAGATCACATGGCCGTTGGATCAAAGTCACCACATTCAAGTGCTAACTCTTCGGCTGACAAGGATGTGTGCATGTTCCTCGACATTGAAAATGACTATTGTCTATAAGATTCATCTTTTTTGAGTTGCAACTTGAGAAACTTGGCAGGACCTAAGGAATAAGATTCCTAGCTCTAGGGGAAGTGTAAAGCATCCATTAAGATGGTTCAATGGTTAAGAGCAACGGCTGTTCTTCCAGAGGACTTGGGTTGGATTCTCAGCACCCATATGGCAGCTCACACCTGTCTGTAACTCCAAGATCTGACACCCTCACACAGACACACATGCAGGCAAAACAACAATGCACATAAAAATAAAGAAGTTACTAAAAAAAAAAAAAAAAAGGAAAAGCCACCAGCTTGACATCCAGGCTTTTAAAGCAATAGTCATCTTGCATCAGTAGAGGGCGCCCTCTGGCTGAGAAAGGGCATGGAGCAAGGCCAGCAGGAAGGCGGACCAGGAGCCCCTGCAGGAAGGGCTGGAACCGTGGACTGTAACTATTTCTGGCTCTGTGTACTCAATCCAGAGAACTTTCTAGTTCTACGTCAAGTCTACACGCTTCCTTAGAACAACTGATTTTTGTCCCTGAACAACAAACTCCAGTGGTCTCTGACTCGCAGTTCAAGTCTGAACTTGCATCCTGGTCCGTGATGCCGCGATGGTCCTCAGGCTGCCGATAAAAGTGTGTCACTAATGGCATTGTTGAAAGCAAGGGATAGACATCTCCCCCAACGAAGTTTAAATAAAAAAAAAGTCAATAAATCTGTGTCTGTAATTGAGGTATGGAGGGACAAGTTAGGTCTTTGTCTTCCCTGGGTTGCAGGCTCTATCCAGTGCAGACTTGGACAGCCTTACTTTGTCATTCTCTGAGCTTCTCTTTCGGCCTTGTGTAAGACGGGTGCAGAAGCTTCAGGGCTCACACACCCAGAGAGAAGAGTGTCCCCTCCTAAGGCCCTCCATAGATTTTCATGTTACTGGCTCTAAATGGGACATACATTTGTCCTAAAGAGTCTCTGTAGCCAGGGTGAGGTGACGTAGCGATTGGCTTTTGTCTAGTCACACCCCGCTCCTCTGAGACCCTCCTACAGCCCCGGGGTGGAGAGGTGAGGAACAGGTGACTAATCTTCAAAATGTAGGTTGAACAGCTTGAAGAGAGATAAGACAGCTTAAGCAAGAGAAGTTTCTCCATCACTGCAGGCTTGCAGGTGAGCAGGTGGAAACCCAGGGTTTTTCCAGTTTGTTGCTTCACTGCTCTAGGTATTGCTTATCTGGGGGTTAAGACATTTCTCCAACTGCTCCGCTGCTCACCCAGTAGCAACACAAAGAAAGGGCAGGACGGAGAATTTCCCTTCTTGATTAAAGGAACTGGCTCTCTTCACGTTAGATCCACTGTCCAGTGACTTGGCCAAACATATCTTTGGGGCGATGTGCACATACACCCTGCAATTATCCACAGAGAGAGATCGTCTCCATAAACACAGAAAGAAATGAAGGCAACTTGGGAGTAGCTAACAATCTCAGCTCGTCTGCCTTCAGGCCAGCCAAACAGCTGTGTGTGCTGTCCTCATACATATCCTGTCCCTGGGAGAGACAGCCATGAAATGCCATGCAGGGCTTATATCTAGCTCCAAGCCTAGTTGCTGGAACTAGCTGCTACTAGCCTGCCCCATCACGTCTGCGCATGCTCTGGGAGCTCACCTGGCCCATGGGTCTGCATGTACTCCAGGATGACACAGTTATGGCATCCTTCATTCAGCAAACCAGTGTTAGTAAGAACCGGATATGGGGATTGCGAACTCCCATCCAGAAGAACAGCAGGAGCTGTCAGACCCTGCTGGGCTAAAATTATGGGTTCCTAGGGAGTGGAGCAGATCTTTTGGTGACGGGTTCCTCTCCGGGATTTTCCCTTAGGCGTTCACTTCATTGGTCCTGTGGTTTCCTCTTTGTCCCATCTTCCATCTGAAGTGGGCCTGAGCTGTGTTCACGGAGAGCCACACCTCTGTAGCCCTCTTCCTGTTAATAAAGCTGTGGTGACAGTGGGCAGGGATACTTAAGTGGACAGAAATACAGGCTCACAGTTTCTTTGGTGGCATGTGTCCTTTAGAAGCTCAGTTGCCTTCCGACCTGGTTTTCGAGACAGGGTTTCTCTGTAGCTTTTGGTTCCTGTCCTGGCACTAGCTCTCGTAGACCAGGCTGGCCTCGAACTCACAGAGATCCGCCTGCCTCTGCCTCCCGAGTGCTGGGATTAAAGGCGTGCGCCACCACCGCCCGGCCTTCCTACCTGTTTGCTTCCAGTGTTTTACATGGGCAAGAAATGGGATTAATGAAGAAGACCACGGCCTCTTATTGATCAGACTGGACATCCTATATATTCTATGTGTGATGTCCTTAACCTGAGATTGGTGTGAATATTCATCTTGGTTTAGAAGGAACAGCCTTGGACTGGTCTTGGCCATTCAGCTGCAGTCATGGTCAGGTTCAGAGACCCTTAATCAAATGGGCTGGAGAAAGCCACCTCCATCCTTGGCTTGCTAACACGTAACACAACTCCTTCTGTGTCTTCCTCAATTCATAGCACAGCATGGTTGTATTGATTCTCTGTCACCTCTGCCTGTGCCCGGTGAGCACTGCCCACGTTCTGTGCCTGCTGAGCACTGCCTACGTTCTGTGCACGGTGAGCACTGTGCATGGTGAGCACTGCCCACGTTCTGTGCATGGTGAGCACTGTGCATGGTGAGCACTGCCCACGTTCTGTGCATTGTGAGCACTGTGCATGGTGAGCACTGCCCACGTTCTGTGCATGGTGAGCACTGTGCATGGTGAGCACTGCCCACGTTCTGTGCACGGTGAGCACTGCCCACAGTCTGTGCCCGGTGAGCACTGCCCACGTTCTGTGCATGGTGAGCACTGTGCATGGTGAGCACTGCCCACGTTCTGTGCCCGGTGAGCACTGCCCACGTTCTATGCATGGTGAGCACTGCCCACATTCTGTGCCCGGTGAGCACTGTCCACGTTCTGTGCCCGGTGAGCACTGCCCATGTTCTGTGCCTGGTGAGCACTGCCCACGTTCTGTGCCCGGTGAGCACTGCCCATGTTCTGTGCCTGGTGAGCACTGCCCACGTTCTGTGCATGGTGAGCACTGTGCACGGTGAGCACTGCCCATGTTCTGTGCACGGTGAGCACTGTGCATGGTGAGCACTGCCCACGTTCTGTGCCCGGTGAGCACTGCCCATGTTCTGTGCACGGTGAGCACTGTGCATGGTGAGCACTGCCCACGTTCTGTGCCCGGTGAGCACTGCCCATGTTCTGTGCACGGTGAGCACTGTGCATGGTGAGCACTGCCCACGTTCTGTGCCCGGTGAGCACTGCCCATGTTCTGTGCCTGGTGAGCACTGCCCACGTTCTGTGCATGGTGAGCACTGTGCACGGTGAGCACTGCCCATGTTCTGTGCACGGTGAGCACTGTGCATGGTGAGCACTGTGCATGGTGAGCACTGCCCACATTCTGTGCACGGCAAGCACTGTGCATGGTGAGCACTGTGCATGGTGAGCACTGCCCACGTTCTGTGCACAGTGAGCACTGTGCATGGTGAGCACTGCCCACGTTCTGTGCACGGTGAGCACTGTGCATGGTGAGCACTGTGCACGGTGAGCACTGCCCACATTCTGTGCACGGCGAGCACTGCCCACGTTCTGTGCATGGTGAGCACTGTGCATGGTGAGCACTGTCCACGTTCTGTGCATGGTGAGTACTGTCTACGTGTTTCTAATGCATGCGGGCCTTTATAGACAGGCAAGAAGCATTCAGCAAATGCCAACACTGTGAAGTTTCCAATCACCTGCCCTAGGCTAAAGGTGGCTTTTAAGACCGTAGGGCCTGGCAGTCCAGGTACTGTGGCACAACAGGAGCTTCTAGCTGTGCAGCCTGCCTCGTGCATGCAGCGAGAAACTGCTTTTTAAAGTTTCGTCTTAGGATTTCTGTTG